AATCAGTAAGGCAACGTTAATCAAATAAATATTTCGCCTTTGCTTTTACCATTTATTCCGCGATGTAAAGATCCAACTAAAACGCTGGATTTAACAGCGGAGGAAACAGCAGTAGTAGTGGGTACATTAGTAGTAGCAGGGGACGCAGAAGCAGTAGAACAGTAATGGGAGAGGACACGCTGCTCCCCACACTGAGCAGCATGAATCCCTGCTCTCTGGAGAGCCGACAGCGGCTGGATCAAACCGATTTACTTTTATTGATCGTTCATCAAACAAAAAGAAAACTCAGTGTTTTTTAATCACCGAGGAGCTTGGGATTCTTCAAGTAAAAAAACAAAAACAACAAAAAGAAATAAAGAAAGGACATTCAACCCACTAAAACACTGGGTTGAATGTCCTACCCACTGTCAAACATTTTATACGTAAATGTATATATGTATAAAATATCCAAACAAAAACACCAGACTAATAGTTCTTTTGATCTAATACACAAACATCTTTAATGTGGATCCCAGAATTTGCAAATAAAGTTAAAAGCATCATGTGCATTTGATAGTGTGATGAGGTAAATGAATTGTAGATATGAGAAAAAAGGTCTCTGCATTAAGTTAGCTTATGAAGACTAACTAATGTGTTCCATCGGCAGTTTAATTTAATGTAAAAACATTAAATAAGCTCATTAGGTCTGGATTTGTATAAGGAAAGTCTCATGTTTTTGTGCTATATTACGAGCTGCGTGTGCATGTGAAACAAGACGTGGCTTTTTACCACCTCTGGTCATCATCCTCTCACTGTGCACACTTCTGACACCACTTGGGACAAGGCGGCCTTTTGCGGCTGCATTTACGGCGGACATGAAAGTCGGGGCAGAGAAAGGTGGAAACGGCAATAGTTTATTCTTCCAGAACACAGCATCAAGAACAAAACCACAAGTGAAACTGCGGCCTCAAGTGCAGAACCAAGCCACTTTTAAATCACAGTTTATAAAGCGCAACAAGTTCTCTTGAAGTGCTATACAGCGACTTAAGTTAAAATAAAAATGAAGATCTCTTCATTACAGTATGAATGAAAAAACTTTTACTTCTTTTTTTTTTTTTTTTTTAAGTTTTCTTTTGGCTTTAGTGGCCTTTATTTGAAAGCGCTAAGACAGAAAAATAGGTAAAAAGAGAGAAAGGACATGCAGCAAAGATCACCAGGCTGGGAATCAAACCTGGAACGGCCACATCCAGGACTAAGGCTTCCTTATGTGTGCTGTGCTTGACCTCTGTGCCCCCACGGCACTAAAACCTTCACTTCTTTAATCGTTACTCAGAAATCCGATCAGAGACAGTCGAAGACCTTTTTCCCCATTTTGACTTTTTGTTGGGTTTTTTTTGCATTTCAGACCCTAACAGTTCATTTTTATGTCATTTTTCTAAACGTTACTGCTAACCTGAACTGCAAAACATACTGAGAATGTTTTTCCACCACAACGTCAGAATTGCTGTGGACTACAACACATGGCAGGTCGTTAAATGTGGAGTACATTCTCTTTACACCCACATGTCCAGTGTAACAAAATCCCACTACAAGAAATACCCTTGAGACAGATGCTAGTGACCTAAATATAATTTTTGTTCCAGCAGGTACCATATAAATGTTGCAACTTAGCTGTAGTTTGAATATTCAAAGCAAATGGGTAACATCTTGCAAACAGAACAACAAAGGGAGGAACTTCATTGAAAGACACAGGCAGACCCCGACAAATAAAAGGAAGTGTGTAGCTGCCACATTCTCACCAGATATCGATCTTTAACCCGTTGGACACCAGGAACTGTATGGTATCCACGTGGCCGCACAAGTGCAACGCCGTATTCCCTTGGTAATCCGTCGCCAGCAGGTCGGCGCCGAACTTGTGCAGCAGGCGGCATATCTCCACGTTGCCGCGGGCGGCGGCTAGGTGGAGGCCGGTGCGGCCGCGGTTGTCGCGGATGTTGGGGTCGCAGCCGGTCTCCAGAAGCCTCTTGGCGAACGGGAGGTCGCCGTCGATGCAGGCCTGCAGCAGAGGCACGCTGGTCTGCGACGAGTCATTGATGAAGACATAGGACATGTCCGAGTGAGTGTCAGAAAATTCCAGCGTACCTGAAATCACAAAGCGGACGTTTAAATAAGCTTCAGGGTGAATGAAACTACAATATGCACTGAATGGTTTTGTATAGGAGGACACTTAGGATTGGTGAAATGCGTTGACTAAAACAAAAATGTATTTCCATGGAATAATTATTATAACAGTTGTATCAGTTAAAGACAGTTTTGATGTAATTTAAATAAGAGTTATACTTCAAACTTTTTAAAATTAACTGGGTTTTTTCCCCCCCAGAACTTCAATAAAAGTTCAGGGAAAAAAAACTTAGCTTCAATAGCTTGAATGTCCAGAGAACAAAAAATAATATTAATGTACTGACTGCTGTGAAATCATGCCTATTTTTAACATTAAGAGTGTAAATTTAGAGCAGTCAAGTCAAAAGCAGAAGAGAAACAGCTTTACCACATTGAGAAAAAAAAACACAAATTTTAATTGAAAGATAACTCATATATTATGTCACACCAACTTTTATTTCACCTGCTTATTGATCTATTTATTGAAATTATATGACTTTATATTTTAATTCTATTTTTATATGTTGCATTCTTTTTATTTTATATGTAGTCATGGCCTGAACTCTGTTGATGAAACAAGGCTGACTGACTGAATGTGGCTTAAGACACTATTTCATTTATGTTTATCAGGTTTCATTTGACAAAAAACGTTTTCCATGACCAAAACCAACAATTTTACATATTTAAACACATATTTTAAAATCTGACAATGTAAGTAAATTTGTATGCATACTGAGGAACCGGTGGCAGACGGAGCCAACATTTTCAGTCTGGAAACACAAATTCATTTCACGCTTACACAGATGTTAAAACACAGAGTCTTTTCTAGACTGTATCCTGCACACTCCACTACAAAAAACATAAGATGAGCCTGAAATAAGTACCTGATGATGATCAAGGCCCTACAGACTGGGAATGACTTTGCTGGTGTGCAGCATGTAGGACAAAAGAATTTCACGAAAACGGTTGACAAAGTTAATTTCAAAATAATCACACTACACAAATTAAAAATATTTGCTTAAAAAAAGACCATTAAATTATGAAATGTGTCATCCTAATACACTTTAGCTTATCCATCTTTTTATGTGACACAGTCAGTCTGGCTGTGAGTGGAAAAATACTCACTGTGGTCATTTCAAATTAATAAACACAAAGATCTGTCTCGATTCTTGCACAATATTCAGCCTTTTTATGAATGCCGTGGATTCAGAGGATATTTACCTCCGTGTTTTTTCCTGTGAACTTTTGCAGTTATTAGTTAGCTAACGTCTGAATGCAGATATTAAAACACTTTCTATTATAAGAAATGGGTAAAACTACGTCATTGCACAGCATGCTAAGGAGCGATGTTAGACACACTTTTTTGTGAACCTTAACTTCCTCAAAACGGCGAGTTGTAAAGTTTGACAGCAAGCCCCCAGCGAAGCAGCGCTGTTAAATTAACCAGGTGAAGCTAATTTAGGCTAAAAGCTAACAACGCCTCCCAGAGAGGGGCGTTGTGGTTCTTACTTACAACCCTATGCGGTTTGTAAAGGTAACACAGAAAAGCTATTACACAAACGAGGATTTTCCAAAAAGCAAAGGCGCATTTAGCTGAACAGACATTATTTTCTTCCCTCTTTAGCACCGGAAATAGGCTATTTATTGCACTTGCACTTAAACTAGTGCTGTGATTAAGTGATAAATTAGCACTTATTAGCTAATAGCACTAAGTGCTAATAGCACTTATTAGTGCTATTAACTAATAAGTAGTTAATTATGCATTTTTGTATAAAGCTGACAAACTATAAAATAGTGTTAAAATTGTTTAAAACTCTTAGTGCAAAGCTTTGTGTAATATTTTTGGTTAAGGAGTGCATAGCTAGGCTACTTGGCTGAAGCTAACTTCAGTGTTCATGTTTAGCAAAAACATGAACACAGACAGAATATGTGTCAGCTTGGAATTACAATTACTCCTTCTACGTTATTTTTTGTACTCATGCCCTATAATGACGTCAAGTGGAGGACACCAGTCTGCTTCTCCAGAGAACATAGCTTGCGAAGCTAATTTAAGCTAGAAGCTAACAGCGAATCGACATGAAGCCAATAAATACGTCGTCCTATGACTTTGCAAACACATACATGAATATAATGGTCATTTAGACGATTTGTAGGCCGCCGGCATTGCAACTGACCTGTTTATAAGTTTCCAAATTAGTAGAAAAAACTGGACGTCGCTGCTCTTCGAGCTAACGTTGCTAGCCGTGTTTTCTGTTTCTTTTTTAGTAACACAGAAGATGAGCACTTTGTCGCCATCTACTGTTCGATGGTGACTTCTACTGTTGCACTTCCATACAGACAGACTGATAACTTATCAGTGATTTATCCTTTTGGCGTATGCAAAGTTTTTGATGCATGGATAGTCCAAGTTTTGATAAATTTCAAGAATTACCATATTATTATATAAAAAATAATGTGATTATATTTTTATGTTAACCTAACAAAGAATTGGGACTTTTTCCTCATATAAGGCTAATATAGTTTGAATTACATCCACTAAAAAGCCAGATAAATATAAAGGGAGGGGTAGGAGTAGTTTTGGTTTTAAATCCACAGATCTTCCAGCAGTGCCAACAACAATAATGATGATGTATGTCCGAGACATTTTCAAACATTTATTAGGAAATATGTGAGCCCAAATAATACACCAGTAACTGCCTTTGTTTTTTGTTTTTTTTTGGTTGTTGTTCTGGATCCTCTTTGAGGAAAACCACATTGCTTTTATTCTGCTTCAGTCTCTTACAACATGATGCCGAATGGGACATTTGGGGCAAACAACTGTTTAATAGTCTGTTTACATCAAACAAAAAAACTCCTAGAAGCATTTTTTTTCATAAACTTTAATGTACAGAACATCATATTCTCATCACCTCCATAGTCAGTGAATAACACCAGGTGGTTGTATTATGACACAGGTACAAAATAATTACAATCTAGATTACAAAAGTACCAAATGCTAATGGAAACCGCACAATAAAGGTCAGAGCTACCAGACGAGACGCATTCTAGATGCAGTGGTCATAGCGGTTACGTGAGCAGAACATTTGACATTTTCTCCTTATTTTTAATATGAAAAAACAGCACGGAAACAAAGAAAAAAAAAACAAGAGTTAATAGAGTTTAAAACCTATTTGTTTCTGGAAATGCTGCTGGAAGACAAAGAGCAGCGATGCGTGTATCAAAAACCTAACACCGAAGACGCTTCATAAAAGCAACGGCTTGCTCACAACACAATGAAAAGCTGAGATTGACCCACTTTGCTCGGCTTGTGACCCGTCTGAATTCACATCAGTGCACCGTCAGTCGTTGGTTCTGATCTCAAACTGTTTCGGACTCTCTGTTTGTGCCACTGAGAGGGAAAAAAGTGCTGATTTGCGTTTGTTTCAATTAAGAAAATAACTCGCACTTCATGGTGTTTCTTTAAGCCTATTTCTTTCACCAAAACCATTTTGAACGGAGCGATCTTGAACATTTCAGCTCATTTATCAAACAACAACTGTGCTCAACACAAGTTGACACCAAAAAATTGATTGTGATCTCTTTAAAAATGTTATGTGGACTGACTGATATATTCTGTATTTTGTGCCTTTGTAATTACAGCTTGTTTTGAATACAAAATGACTCATAAATAGAACCCTCCAGCAGAGATACTTTGGTTTGATCAGGAGTCCAAATCTCATAATTTGTAAGTAGGTCAGCTGGTTCAGATGGGAACAGAAACCTAAACAAATGGAAATAGGGTGAAATATTAAGACCTCAGAAAAAATAATTAAATTACACAAAATATTTGAGTATTTCTTTTGGATTATTTATATTAAAATTCATGAGTATGTTTAAGTACATTCAAAAAGAAACTGATATGCTATTGATTGTTTCTCTGTACAAAAAGGGAAGAAATTAGCTCAAAAGGGAAATTTTGATCAAATTTCAGTCTGGATTTTACTCATTTTATAATGCATTTTATAATACAATTCAAATTCCTATGGCTTTAGCTAAAATGCTTTATCATGTTAGCAAGGTAACACAATAGCATGTTAGCATGTGAGTTTTCAGTGCTTTAGTGAGTTCTCTAATGCACAGAGCATTAGTTGTACTTCTATAAAATCTACCTCAAGCAGAAAATTACGACGAATTTGAAGATCCGATGGTGATAACTGTTAAATGTGGATCTTCTATTTAGGGCTTTCCAGCCTTAAAAATCACCTATTTTGACATTTTTCGTCATATTGCAAATCAAATTAAACAAAAACTAAAAGTTAAAAATTTTACAAAGTGAAAAAAAAAAACCTTGGTTGAACATGAATTAATATAAAAATAAGTCTGGAGTCTTCTAATATTGAACATCCACACTCCCAAACAAATCTCACCAGCTAACATTTTAGCAGTGTATTTGGCTAGCTCACCAGCATGTTTCTGTGGGTCACGTCTTCCTGATAGCTATGAATGGGGCACAAACTGACAGTTGGGGGGAGAGAGTAAACTATTCGCTACCGCACCTACAAATTACAGCAATGCCATGCGTCTGAGCTGAGACGTGTGAAGGGTTCGTCCCTCCGCGAGTGTGTGCACAGCTAGCTAACGAGGTGGCTCTCTTCGAGGTAGCAGAGACTGATTCTAGCCAAGTACCGTGAATTCAGACAAAAGATAAACACAAACATCAACAATAGCACCATTGTCAGTGTAAATCCAGAGGGGAGAAATCCCTCCGCGGCTCTTCTCTATCCACATCCGCCCTCCGGCGTCTTTCGTCGATGAGCCTACGGCTCCTAAAGGGGATAAAATGGAAAAGACAGCTTCTTCCTTTCAAATCAGTCACATGTTCTTGCTCTCCATCAAGTGCTAGTCCTGGCGTTTTCTCCCACCCGCTCTGCTCTGGTCGACAGCTACAAGATCTTGCTGCAGACTTGGCAGCGGCTGACCCTGGAGCGTTCCTGACCGCCCTTCAGGGTCTCCTGCTCTGTCGGCGCGCCGAACTCCAGCCGGGGGTCAACTGTGGTCAGCCAGAAGCTGTACTTGTTGGCGAAGTAGTGGCAGGTGCCCCTGGCGCCGTTGCACTCGATGAACGGGGTAGAGCGGAAGTCTTCCAGGCAAGAGCCGGGAGACATCAGGGACTGACCGCCGCCCTCAGCGCCGGCTGCTGTGTGCTGTGGCGGGAAAAAGGGAAGGACAGCAATAAGCAAAACTAGATGAAAGTTTCTGTTTAGCCTCTGACATTCAGCCTGAGGCTTTAGATGTTGATGATATCAGTCTATACGGTCTACAACCAACTAGGGAATGTATCTTTGATATCATTGCTGATAAACAACCATGGATTACTTGTACTAAATATATAAATATCTGGGTCTTTCATGATGAGAGTAAGGTTGTCGTTTGTCACCGATTCTGTTCATAACCTTCATGGTGTTGAGGGGATTCGTTTTGGTGGCCTTTGGCCTTTGATTTTGCTGCTGGCCGGAGGGTCAAAGCCTCCAAATTCAACACCATTGTCCTGAGCCAGAAAAGGATCGAGCATTTTGTTCATGTCAGGGATGACCTCCTGGCCAACATGGAGGAGTTTAAGTATCTCTGTGTCTTGTTTATGAATGAGGGAAAAATGGAGTAGAGGATGCATTGGCAAAGCGGGCACTGCACCAAATTTCCTTATCCCTTCTTTAAATTATACAAGATGATTCTCTGATTAGGAAAGAAGTCCTCCTTCAGCTGGATATGCAAGAAATCTCAAGCATGTCCTCTGGAGGAAAGTCTTTCAATTGCCTTTGGTCTCCAGTTGATGACCTACCATGAGGAAGGAATATCCGATCCAAAGACTCCTCCAGCCGAGTGGGCAGGTAGGGATGGATAGGTCCTGACTGTGGACCGCCACCGCCTGAGACGGCGCCTCGCACACCGAACACCTGGACGGTTCGGACAAAACAAACAAAAAAAAAAGGTGAATGCTTGTTAAATGCCACACGTCTGTTGAAAGACGTAGCTGTGGTGGAGCACAGCACCTGCTGATGTAAGGCCGAATCTGTTCCTCGGCCACAGGCATCATGGGGATGGGCGCGGTCGTGGAGAGCCAGAAGGATTTGTCGTTGCGGCTCGCGTAGTAGCAGGTCTCAGACGGGTTGCAGTAGAGGAAGGGGATGGTGTTGAACCTGGGGAGGCACGAGCCCGGCTGACCTGGAGAGGTGTGGAGAGGTCCCACAAAGTTAACAGGCTGGTGGCGAACAAATCGAGATTTGTTACAAAAACACATTGCACGTTTGAAACAAGATCTAGAGAACATTCAGGTTTTAAAACCTCACAATATTTCAGCTATTACAGCCAATATATTTAGGAACGTAGCTGCAGAGTTTCAGTGAGAAATCGAGTCTTTACACACCAAGGTCTTGGTTGTGTGCCTTCTCTTGTCCCTCCACGTACAGCAGGCTGTATCCTACCCACAGTTGGGCCATGCCTTGGGGACACATGGGAACATCGGTGGTCTGGCTGTGCTTCACCAGAGTGTAGCCGACGCTGACGCTGCGGCCGACGCCGCCGGGAATACCGGGACGACCGATGGCTCCGGGAAAACCTGAAACGTGACCAGAAGGTAGCCAGGGTTTCTCTTTATGTACATGTCATCTTGTTTATATATATATATATATATATATATATATATATATATATTATATATATATATATATATATATATATATATATATATATATGTGTGTGTGTGTGTGTGAAGAGAGTAAAAAAATGTTTAAGAAAGATGCTGCAAAGAAAAAAGTATTTGTATCGCTCTCAAAATTACCGTAATTCGGAATTTTTTTCACTTGAGAGATATTTTATGTTTTGCCCTGTCAGTTTCATTTATTTTGGCATTAGATTCTATTCCATCAGATGTTTTGCTGCATTTATTTGAGTCTTTTGTGTTTTTAGAAAATGGGTGTGAAATTGTATAGCAAGTATATAAGTCAATATCAATGATGTAACAAAACAAACAAACTGACCTTGATCTCCAGTGATCCCTGGGAAACCAGGGATGCCCGAATCCCCAACCTGCCCAGAAAAACCGGGCGATCCGGTCCTGCCGAGCTCACCCCCAGCGCCTGGACGACCCTTTAGACCTGCGGCAGAGGAACAATTACCATTCACAACAAAAGTACATATTTTCAGATTCCTTTTAAATGTGGTTCTGTTGCTCAGTTTTGCCACAAATACTCAATTATAGTCTCACGCAAAAAATATTCGCATCAATAATAATCAGGCATTCCACAAGTCTGGCCTTAATGTAAACGTAACAGACATAAAACCATAAAAGGTGCTGCTGTGAGGTTCAGGGACACAGCACACATGTGGTAGATGAGAACAAAGACACAAGAAAATGATGTCTAGAGGAAAAGCACTGACTCCACACACCACACCACTTCCTGTCTCTTCAGCAGGGACTAAAATGGTACAACTTTCAAAAGTTACCAAGCGGGGAATTATATTTAATTTGGTTACAAATGCAAAGTTAGCATAGCTAAAATATTAGCTATGCTAACTCTAAAGCACTGACCCTGAATACTAGCTGTGCTCACCCCAAAATGCTGTACAAACTTAATAAGCACCTCAATTTCAACTAAAGTTGACACCAATGATATGTCAATGACACAACATGTGCTGCAACATAGCGTATGATCCTCCCAGGTCCAAATTTGTCATTACACACATCAAAATATGTGATGCGCTACAGGGAGTTTTGCAGCGATGCATTATGGGTACAGAATAAACGCCATTTGCTGCACTGGATCAATTGAAAGTTCACAAAACGGCCAAGTAAACGTAGAATTTATCTGGACAATTCCATTTAGGAGAAGCTAAATGCGCTTCACAAAGTTAGCAAAAGAGCTACACAAAAGTGGTCTGTGCCATTAGTGGGTTAGCGGGAGAATGCCGGCTGCTGGTTGAAGACAACAGTCCAGCACTTCATCTGGGTAATGTGTTAAAGATTTGAAGCAAACAACAAAGAAATGATCTGACATTGTCTGGCTATCACTGACCTGGCCGTCCGCTGAAACCAGGCTGGCCGGGCTCTCCGGGACCACCGGGTGGTCCGTTGTAGCCGGGGACACCAGGGTCTCCAACAGGTGCAGGTCGCGGTATGTAAGGCAGTGGGGCTCCTGGAGGACCCTTACGCCCAGGTCGCCCTGAAAAGAAGGGAGAGAGAGCAAAACGAATGAACGGATTAGCAAGGATGACGTAGTTGATAGAGAGGAACATCATCAGGAACTGAACGGTGTTCCCGCTCTCACCCGGTGATCCTCGACGCCCTTTGAATCCAAAGAATCCGGGCTCTCCGGGCAATCCTTTCGCACCCGAAGCACCGCCCCGTCCGTTGTCACCCGGAGCTCCTGAAAAGCGAAACCGCTTGCTTCAAGATTGAAGGCTGTGTTTTGTGGAGGAAGGACACAAATGCGGTTGTGCTGGAGGAGCGGGCAGCAGCCTCTCTTCACCTTTTAAGCCAGGGAATCCGGGGAATCCGGGACCTCCGGGACTTCCTGTTTCTCCCTTCGGGCCAGGGGTTCCAGGGAATCCTGGGAGCCCTGGGTCTCCCGTGTCTCCCTGTGCTGTGCCGGGACCCGGTGGCCCAGGAGGACCGGGAGGGCCCTGGAAACCTGGGAGTGGAAAGAAGAATGTCATGAGATCAAGCATAGGGAACAATGCAACTAGATTAAGAAGCTGTGTTTACCGTATTCTCCATCCAATCCAGGAAGTCCGGGGTCTCCCACAGGCCCCGGGAAGTTTCCTGAAGTACTCGGACCAGGAGGTCCGGGTCGTCCAGGGAACCCTGGCGCTCCAAAAGCTCCTGACATCCAAAACAAAAGCCAGCGTTCATACTTTCTTACATTTGAAAGCCTTTTTGGATTTTTTCTGATCTAAAACTCACCCGAATCTCCTCTCTGTCCTTTTGATCCAGGGAAGCCTCGTCGTCCAGGGAAGGAAACACCTCTCTCTCCTTTCTGCCCCTGCGCACCGCGGAGGCCTGGGTTTCCTCCTATCGTTGTACCTGGATGGAAACAGATCGGGTGTCATGTCTGCAAAGTGCTGCGTTTAGCAGTTTCACTGCTGATTTGCAGAGCCTTACTTGTTAATTCAATAACTGTAAGATTTTGGTGTATTTTGCTCCATCAAAATACACCAAATAGGAGGAATAGGAAATAAAAGCATAGCCAGCATAGCCACAGTCACATCAAGTAAAATGTGACAAACACTAAAAAAAGAAAAAAAGAACTCTCTCTTTAAGCCTGTAATGATCAATTTTGCCAGACAATAAATTGTCCCAGACTTTATTGCGATAAACGATAATATTGTTATTTTGAAACAATTTTCAAGTAATATAATCGCAATGGCATTATAACGCAACTAAACATTCTGACAGATCAGTAATCTTTAAATTCTAATTAACATTTAACTCTGGATCCAGATTTTAAATATCCAAAATAAATAAACAACCCAACAGAAAGTACAAATGAAATGAATCATGAAGTCTCTGTGACCAAAACTGTCCTTCAAAAAAGACGTGCCGGTTGAGAGGAAAGCATCCAACTGGACACTTTTGTGATCCAGTTTTTGGTAGAAAGAGAAAAGCAATAAATTAAGGAAATGCACCACGGTGCGATCAGAGCGAGGCGCCGCTCTGATCTCGATGTGAGGCTTTCATAAACTCTAACTGGTAATTATCTCCATCCACTCAAGTTTCCACTGATGTGAGAGCGTCCTCCTGGCCTGTGTGCGTCTGTGTAGCTATACACACGCAAGTGCAACATTGAGCAACTTACACGATGCATACCGATATTTTTGACCACGTCATTCAATATAATGTTTGTTCTCACACTGGTGGCTGCCTGACGTGACTGCATGGAACTGAGCCTAAACAAGCGTTTTACCGTTTTGATTGAATCACTGAATGGATCAAACTTTTCCTTGACACTCCAATTTATTGAAACTCTTATCTGGATGATTTTAGATTATTGAATAAGCTTTATTACTAATAGGTAAAGGACCTGACCAGAAGTGTAAAAGGAGCATCATTTAAAAAACAGTAAAGCATCTCTACATAGTTCATTTCTATGTGTATTTTAAATTGTGCTCTTAGATTCAAAGCAGGATTTTAGCTGGGTCGCTCCAAAACGTTTATGTTACTTCTGGTGCAACGGAACTTGTTGGTAAAATTTCATCTAAATCTACTAAAGGTAATTGTAATATTTATTGGTATTTGTGTTGAGTTTTGAGTCCTTTGAGTCCATCAAAGGAGATTAAACCATGAAATCTTTCTCTATACTAAATGTTTTGGTTGTGTGATTTAAGAGAATGTCTGGCGGTTCAATTCCGCTCCAAAACGTTTCACAGTTTGGATGCAGTAGCCTAGCTAAAGTGAGAGTTTGTGTGTTCTTGCCTGGGATTCCAGGCGGGCCTTTCGGACCGGCGAGGCCATTGAGTCCATCCAGCCCCGGCGCTCCAGACAAACCTGTGAAGAGCGTGTCGTGAGAGCGTCTACTAAAATAACCGCATCGTAAAGCTGACGTAACGCTGTCATGTTACCTTTAAAACCGAGGCCACCTGGACCTCCGGGCAGTCCCGGGGACCCGTCCGGTCCTTGTCTCCCAGGGAATCCGGGCTGACCCTGCGGCCCCGGGAACCCAGGTGGACCTACATGAAATTGAGTGACAACATGACAACTGTCCTCCAACAGACAAAGTACATCGAGTCGTCTTTCATCAGCTTCGTCTTCGGGGTTCGTGTCTCACCCATCGTTCCGGGACGCCCCGTGTCACCGGAAATGCCCTTTTGTCCATCGGAGCCACGCAGTCCCAGAAAGCCGCTGTCGCCAAGGGAACCGTCGAGGCCTCGAGGGCCTGGAGAAATGTTAGGTCACTGTTCACTGGGACACTTTCTTGATTTATTGAAACCTAACTCAGCTGCTCCACCAATAGAAGTTAAAGGACAAATATGAAGATGTTTCTTTTACTGTGACGTTTGAATGAAATGTGATCCGTTTAATCCGAATCCAAAGTCAAAATAAATACAAGCTGTAAACTATAGAAACCCCAAATGAGATGGACAGCCCTACCTTACAGTGAAAAATCAAATCTTACCCGGAAAACCTGGATTTCCCGGCTGGCCTTTCACTCCCGGTCCTCCAGGATAGGCAAACGTCTCTCCAGGTGGACCTGATTAACAAATGTCCTGATTGTTTATCGTTTTTATGAGCAAGACATTTTATGAGCACGGATTGAAGGAAAATTGCCGCTCACCTTTTCCTCCGTTTCGACCGAATTCTCCAGGACTTCCAGGGAATCCCGGTGAGCCGTCTTCACCCTGAAGGATCAGCGGTGAGAATTTCAGCTCCACCACCTTGATTGTGCTGGACGATTACATGAGGAACAGAAGTGTGTTTCCTCACCCTCGGTCCAGTCATGCCCGGGAATCCCATGATTCCTCCTTCCCCCTTTCTTCCAGGGAAACCCTGTGGGCCGGGCTGCCCGGGGAAACCCAGCTGTCCGGCCTGGCCTTTGCTGTCCATGGGGAAGCCGGGACGTCCCGGAGAACCCGGACGCCCAGGCAGGCCTGGGAGACCCTTGTCACCTGGAAATACAACGAGGAGGGATGGCATTTATGGACAATGGAAACTCAGTCAGCTTCAACAAAAACTGGTAAACACATTTTCTCAGTGTTGAAACCATTTCCTAAACTCACCACACATTCATACATTCATTCAAAATAGTTCCTTTTCAAAGTAGTTTATCAAACCACAGAAAGTCTGAATTAGTGTGTTTTCTGCTCTGGTATGCTCTGTGGAAATGTTTGCAGAGACAAAAACAGCCAGGTATAACTTCTGAAGTAGGAAGTTGTTCTTGGGTATTTGAAGATGTTTTTTTTCCTACCTCTAGGTCCAGTAAAGCCCTGAAAGCCCGGGGCTCCGGCGGCCCCTGGTGGGCCTTTCTGCACAAAAGGAACAGGGCCTGGAAGGCCCGGGGGGCCGGGGTTTCCTTGGTCACCTGTGGAGGGTAAAGGAACGTGTTTGGGTATTTGTGCCGCTCTCTGTCGATTGAGGTCGTCCTTTGTGTGATTTCAAGCCAAACAGTCATCATCCCCCTCCCTCTGATGTTCACCTTTCGGTCCAAACCGTCCAGGACCGCCAGGAAACCCATCTCTCCCACGGTCTCCGGGAAACCCTTTCCCGCCGGGAAATCCCGGACTCCCGGGACGACCCGGTAGTCCGGGGAAACCTATCAGTCCCGGGAGTCCTCTTTCACCTGCAGATTAGACAGAACCTTTTTTAATGATACGGGCCGGGCAAGTGAGGAATAGACCGTTAGGAGGATCTTGTCCTCCCTACCCTTTCTTCCCGGCGCTCCGGGTCTTCCAGGAATGGTTCCCGGGCCTGGCAGTCCAGGGGGTCCCCTCGGACCTGTTCCTCCGTTGACACCAGGGAGTCCCGGGGTTCCCTTCATTCCAGCGGGGCCCGGGAATCCTCGATCTCCCGGTTCACCTTTCCGGCCGCGGTAACCTGACGAAGGCGGAGGGTGGGGATGAGAACGGATTAGGCCGGGCTCAACTTCCGGGAATCTAAACAAATGATGAAAACTTAATATGCAACATATTTAGATCTGGAACAAATCAGTGCATAGAAGTAAAAAACTGATAAAATAAATAAAACTTACCTTGTTCAGAATACATCAACTTACCTCCAATGAATTAAGTTTACAAAGAAAATACAGCAGAAATCAATTCAACAATAACTTTGCGTCAAAGTACCAACACTCGCTTACAGCGTGGCAGACTGCAGGAAACAATGTAATATATTTCTTACATTGTTTTTTGTTTTTTACAGTCTATCTTTTGCCCCAGCTGCGCTACGTTACACAGACGTAAGCATGATGCGCTTCATTTGGATACAGAAGATATCCAGAGGTTTCCAGTGGTTAAGCAGTTATCGGAACAAGTGCGCAATTTCCACAGATGCACCAATTTCCCAGCAGGAAGTTGCATGAACACTCTTTGTTGTTTCCTGGGATGAGATTTTCAATGAAAAATGCATATTTTTGTAAATGTAAAACGTTAGATGCAACTCAAAGTGTATTTTATTCTGATTCTGGTCTGCTCTGCATCCCCAGAAACAGAAACACGGAGAAGCGGCATTCAGCTTCTACGCACCGCAAATCTGGAACAAACCTCCAGAAAACCGCAAAACACACAAAACACAGAGTTTCTTTACAATCAGGGCTAAAAACCCACCTGTTGTAGTGTTGATTCAATGGGACTTTGATCAACATGTTTAACGTGTATTTGCAGTGATGATTTTGGTGACGACACACATTTTAACTCAAGGTTTGCCATTTACTCCATCATCTTCTTTGTTTCGGATTGGTAGCTGATTCTGTCTCTCTGCTACAAACGAAAACTCTTAAGAAATCTGCCAACAAAATTCCTCAAACGCTTGTCGTTTGTTACATCTGAGCTCATCCATTATGGTCACAACCAAAGCTCTCAACTGGCAAATTAGATATTTCTAAAATCCCCGAAAAAACGGAATCAGTGCATCTGCGGCGATTACGTACTCGAAGCCTGCATTAGCGCGGCTCCGCCACCTGGGGTCTCCAGTAGTGACTGAACTGCCCCTCTAACAGCTAAAGTTTAATGTTCTTAAAAAAACAAAAACAAACAAACAAACAAAAAAAAAAACAGAACTTGTTTTCAGCACATCTGCAATGCAACGTTAGTAGTTGTCAGACTAAACTAAAATTGCCATGAGTTTAGATGTGCTGAAAATAGCAAGTCTTTTTAATTAAGAGTGCAAAAAAAAAAGCTTTGGCAGCAGCGATGAAGCTAAATAGTATTTGAGCAAAAGTCCATTGGTAAACAAACCTACTGAACGTGACCCAGCAACAGCAACAACAACAAAAACAAGATTTGGTACTGATTAGGTGTAAAACTGAAACATGTGGGTTAGATTTGGCAGCAAAAAACAAACAAAAAGAACAAAAAACAACATCACATACCGTTCCATACTCTTTACATAAACTCATCATGAAAATAAAGATCTGCTCATCAAAATAGTTTTTTTCTTATGTTTGGATATATATATAAAAAAATACAATTTTATTTTGATATCCTGAAAAATTGGATATCAATTTGGGTATAATATCCATTTATCCAACTAATGTTTACAATAAATTTCTGGAGTTTTTTTTTTTTGTTTGTTTTGTTTTCCGGAAACTGAACAGTCAATAATGACTCGTTAATATGATGACAGTTAAGCTCATGATGAATTTATGTGCACATCTTGGTGGAACGATAAAAAGCAAGCACAAACTTTCAGGGATTATTTTGTCTCGGAAGCTTTCACAAATAAAATATCCATCTTCAGTCAAAACCTCGAGTGAGTCTTTGAGTGGAGTGGGGGTGGGATGAACTCCTTTCTTTTTGAGACCACAACGTTCAGGTCAGTTCTGCTCATTCTGCTCACTGCAGACATACTTCAGTCCTGCACTTTGTTAGCTCTTCCTTGACGACTCGTTTAAAGCTGCAGTATGTATCTTATATTAAAAAATGTGTTTTTTGTTTTTTTAATACTTGTTAAAATTGTAATTAAGTTGTGAAAGTATATGACAAAAGATGATCTGTAAAACAACATTTCCTTCTCTCAGCGCTACCAGTACTAGCTGCTGACACAACCAATCATCAATTGCTGCCCAGCTTCAGCTCCTTTACTACAACAGAGACTGCCACAAATGCTAATTCAGCATAGCCACCGATGACAGCAAATAACGGTAAGTTCCCGTTATTTGCAGTAAGTTGTTTTTCCAAAATGACCGCATTTGGCATGCGATTGATTGACAGCGCTAAGACCCTCCTCTTGGCTCCGATTGGTTGAAATGATGCAGAAATGATGCATTTTTGCAGTAGCCTTGGAGGAGGTGGATTAGCTTGATTTGTTTTTTCACAGATTTTCTAATACCTTACAGTGATGACATGGTGACAGTTTCAATAAATATGGAAAAAAAACATATTTCTATAAAAGTGACATACTGCAGCTTTAAAGGGGCACAACTGTGACTTGCAAGAATATGTATTAAACTCCAGCGAAACATTGGAATAGTCAAAAACCTCTTTCAAATATCAAAAGATATAGATATATAAGATAAAAGATATAGATAAGACACCCTGAATTTCTGTCCCAATAAGACTTCAAAATAACCTCTTCTTGTATAATCTAAGTGGATTTTAATTGTATTTTTCTAGTCTGCTTATAAAAATAACACAAAGCGTTTAACACTAGAGCCATATTAACACAGTTGCACTCACAAGCTGCGTTCCCATTGATCACATAATAGCACAATTTGACACTTTGAAGATAAATTTGCTTAGCCACACGTTTGCACTGTCGCAAACCACAAAGGAAGTGTGAAGCGGGCGATGGCTTCATGCACGACTTTAATCACGTTTCCTATCTAACGGAAAAGCCGCAACTGCAAAATTGGGCTTTTTCGACATTAGCGGGATATCGACAAAGTTTTGCGCATACCTCTGATGGAGACGCAGCTGCCAAACACAAACTCACTCACACACTGACACAAAGGCCGGTAGTCGAGCATCGACATGCAGCCGGAGGAAGCTCGAGTCGAACCCGCAACTCCTCGGGTTGCGAGACGACTACTCGTCCTTTGGCAAACCGCTAAATTAGCTCGGGTAAACAACTTCTTTGGTCATTTTCGACTGAAACAAACACCCCCAAGGACAGACTTTCTAGTTTGTGCAGATGGACATTTGTTTGTCGCATGGTGGTAAATGGCCTGCAGGCAGTTTTAGGGTTTAAGCAGCAGAAGCATGCGGACAATTAAAGCAAAGGATGGAGAGGACAGTTTAAAAAAAAAAAAAAGATGGACAATGGATGGACGAGGAGAGAATATCTCACCTGGGCAGCCTACATCGAATGACCCAGCACCAAGAAGTAAAAGGTGGAGAGATGGAGAGGATGCATGGAGGTGATGGTGGTGGTGCATGTAGAAAAGGAAAGGATGGTAGAAGGGGTAAACAAAACAAAAAAAAGGAACAAGGAGAGATACAAAAACAAAAAGATTTGATGGGTAAAACGGAGAACTTCAATCCACAAGACAATAACATGCCGTCTGATGCAGGATGCAAAGGGAATACGATGAGAAACGAGAAGGACGGACGGACACTGGGGAGGCTGGAGGGATGAGAGGTGAAAACGTTAGCTGAGACCAAACCAGAATTTCTTTTTATTTCAATTCCACCTGAAAAGTTAACCTAGAGAAAAACTTTACTAAAAGAAAAAAACAAAAAACATCAGAATCCTTGACAGTGATTTGGAGATTTTTGTGTAGATGGAGGTAACATTGTTCCTCACCTGGTGGTCCGATGAGTCCTTTGCTGCCGGGAAATCCGGGTGGACCGGGGATAGGATTGGTTGCTCCACCTGGAAGTCCGGGAAGACCCGGAAAACCCGGCCGGCCATCCACTCCACGCTCCCCCTTCAGACCGGAAACACCAGGCCGTCCATCGAAGCCTGAAGATTGAAAAATATGGAGATATTTCTTTAACTTGCTACTGACATTAACTGCTGCAACTCCATTAATAATAACAGTAATAAAAATAGTAAGTAGGGCTGAAACTGTTGCTCCAATTAATGGAGTACCTCGATTATTAAAATTCCTCGAGGAAAATTTACCTGCCTCAAAGCGTTGTTAAATTATGTTTTATTATTTAGCACCGTGTTCCAGCCGGGACATTACTTGCGTTGTGCGGAGCTCTGACTTCCTACTCGGAGTTGTTGACGAAAGCTAACTGTTAGCAGCATAACGTCCAATTTTCAAGTTTGGCCCGTGGGTATTTTATTGATTAATGACAATGGCCGGGTTTTCATAACCCCTAACCCATTGACACTGGTGTTATGCCAGATTTACCAATATTTTATTTTATAATTTTTTTTTATTCGATTACTCGATTAATCTAAGATATTTGTTCACAACAGCCCTAATAACAATAACAATAATAATAAATATGTGAGTTTAGCATTCCAGTGGCTGCCTCTGGGACCCACCGGGTGATCCGGGTGTTCCTGGACTCCCTGGCAGGCCCTTGTCTCCGGTTGGACCAGGTACGCCATCCAGTCCTGGAGCTCCAGGTCTTACTCCCAGGACTTCTCCAGGCGGGCCTTTGGGTCCGGGCAGTCCTGGAAGGCCGTCTTTCCCCCTGGGCCCGTCGTAGCCAACTCCCGGAGTACCTGGAACTCCGGGATCTCCTCTGGGTCCAGGAAAACCTGCAGGAAGTGTGGAGCAGCAGGGTAAATATGAACATATTCCAGAAATCTTATCATTTGTAGTTATTTTCCATGCCGTTTCTTATGTGTAATTAAGTATTTGCTAACTCAATGCTGGTATTTGACCCTAAACAACACTCTCAAAAGACAGATTATCCAACTAATGAACCATGTTTGTTCATAGAAATATTTTTATTAATAGTCTTTTAAGGTTCCACTTCTGGTCAGATTCCTGTTCAGACATTGAGGGGGGGGAAAAAGAGCAAGTCTTTTTATTTTGTGTAAGTAAACTTCTGGTTTCAACTGTATCTATTGGTTATAGTTGAAACCAGGACAAAAGCTTAGTTTATCCTACAAGCAAGATCTAGCAACCTGAACCTGGAGGTTTTGATCCCTGACTGGTTGACGTATTTAGTCTATTTTCACTCGTTACTCACAAAAAATAAAGATGTTCAATGTAAATTTGCAGTGGACCTCCGGAATATATTTTTTATTGAAGTCTTTCTGACCATCTCGTGGACTAGAGCTCATGGTGGAACCCTACACAGCACCAGTTTACCTTGTGGTCCTGGTTGGCCTCCAAAACCAGGATCTCCCTTCTCTCCCTTGGGGCCATCAAACCCTCGACCTCCAGGGGATCCCGGGAAGCCTGGCTGACCTGCGGGGCCTGAGACAGAAACCGGGTCGACATGCAAGCCTCTCCAAAGACACCAACTTAAACAGCTTTCAAATGAACATAGAAATGATAAGAACTATTGTTACCTGGCCGTCCAGGCCCGCCAGGATAACCTTTGTCTCCAGGTTCACCATATATGATGCAAGGTTGCCTATCACCTGGTAGTGGTCATGTACAGGTTAGTACTCACGCTTTAAGTACCATAATACTCATTTAGAGAAAACAGAATGGGATTTATCAGTTAGAGTTCCCTTTAATTTTGTAAATAATTAAATAATTCTCGGCTTATCGTACCTGCTCATTTACAAAAGAATCATACGGCGGAAATCTACCAAAATAATAGCTCACAACTACACTGACTGATAACTAGAATCCCCTCGCATGTCAACAGTCACTCAGTCCGACTCCAGATGAATAGCTCCTCTGTTTTGCAGTGCTGGTTGTCAGTCGCTTCCATTCATGCTGTACCTGATAGGGTTAATTTCAGCTTTTAGCCGTGAGGGCAGGGAGGGCAAACATTGTTAGTAGCAAACGGTTTTGAGTTAAAGCTGCGGGGTCGAAAAAACGGGGAGCTGACTGGTTAAACGCTTTACGTCCGGGCTGGAGGACGGCGAGCGCTTTTTCTCCTCGTCCGATGAAAGTAGTAGTTAAAGTAAGCATTAAAATAGGCGGCAGATTTCGGCAGCTTTGATTGGAGAAAAAAAACATGAATGTGATTGTCCAGTGACTGCGGCCACCCGCTCCACTTTACCCCAAGTTCGTCATAGAAATCCTTTCAGCATCCCATGGAAATAACTTAGAAAGGAAGTTGTTGGTTTTGTTTGGCAGAAGACTATGTTATCCAGTAATCACCTGCTATGTCTGAGAAAAGTTTAAGAGTATTTTGCAGAAATGCTTCTCCAAGAAAATAGCGGTTGTTAGCTCAATAAAAGTCCCTTTAATGAAACTATAAGGGCTGCAGACACATTATAATAACATAGTACATCATTGTTTGAGTAATGGATGCCAATAACCAATCCATAGACTGGTTATTAGACAGTGAGGAGCTTCACCTTCCTCTGTTATTTACAAGTACATGGCTACAGCTTCATGGCTTCAAGACAAAACCTCCCCATTGTTATTAACCAACTTAGCTGTGTCCTTCGTTAAAATGTTAGACAAAAAAAAAGTAAACTTTTTTAAGATGAAACAGAACATTAAAAGCTTTTTGGCTTCCTGAGAACAAGCTAGCTTCTTTTACGAATCCACCAGTTCCTCCGCGAACGCTACATAATCTGTCCCCATTGTTACTCCGACTGGTGGTGGAGGAAGTTAGTTACCCACCCGTTCCCTCTCCGGCGCCAATAACCCCTCCACAGCTGTTGTCACCTGGACAGATACACATGCACAAGGAATGTGAGACAGATGGAGGGACGGGAGATAGGGAGAGATGGGGATGGATGTGTGTTTTTTCAGAGAAAGAGGGCCACAAAGGACGGCAGCATACAAAGCCAGACGAGGCCAGTAAAGCAATTCAATTGTTGTTTTGAATCATCAAACAGTTATAGGGAATCAGATCGACTCCACTACTTCAAGGCTAACCCAGTTAAGGCAGAAGCATACTGAGATGCTTGGTTCAGTTAAAAACAGACTATTATCATCATCAGCAGAGGAGAGAGAAGGAGGTGGGACAGTGAGGCATCGCCGCATCTGCCCTTCGGTTCCCTCATTCTCCCTCAGTTCCTGAGAGTGATAATTCAAGCAAAATCAATCAATGTTTAGCATTAGCATCCTGGGGTGAGAGCACTCATTCATACTGCAAATAAAGCCCAGTAAGTTGCTGATGTCTTGTGTTGTTTAGTCCCAGACTAAACAACACAATGCATCGCCGCATCTGCCCTTCGGTTCCCTCATTCTCCCTCAGTTCCTGAGAGTGATAATTCAAGCAAAATCAATCAATGTTTAGCATTAGCATCCTGGGGTGAGAGCACTCATTCATACTGCAAATAAAGCCCAGTAAGTTGCTGATGTCTTGTGTTGTTTAGTCCCAGAGAGGAAGAGATGAGTATCGGTCTGTTTCTTGACGAAAACCTGTCTGTTCCACGTTTGCTGTGCTAGCCTGATAAATTTTACTGACAGCCATTTCAATAACATATTCAGTAAATAACTGAAAACCTGATTAGATTTTATTATGAAAAATTGTGATTAGGGGCGCATTCATACCAGCCCTGTTTAGTCCACTTTAACTGAACCAGACTTTCATTTGTCTAGAAAGTCCAGCCCATTTGCAGAGGTGCGAATGCGCAATCGAACTCTAACGCAACTCTAGTCCGCCCAAAGACCTAGCTGTCACTTCAGTTAAAGTGAACTTTGTTGTGGTTCAAATGCATATGTGGACGCAAATGAACCAGAGACCGCTCCAAAAGCAGGAAGTGGACTATAGCGCAGGTCATTCTGGGTCAATAAAACCAAAACAAACGCGTGAGTCTAGAGCTAGCGAGAGAAATGACTTATGGTCTTTAACCAATGACAAAAGAGAAATCCTACATCCGCTAAAATCTGACGCTACTCCATTTTTGTTGACATTCCCAGAAGAAGGAAGCTGCGCTGATGTCTTCTTCTTAGGTTTTTGTGTCGCTTCTTCAGTAGTTCTTGGTGCAACGAAACCAGAGGTGGGAGTGTGAACAGGTTTTTCCATTAGTTTAGATCATTTGACCAAATGCAGTGTGAAACCAAACCAAACCAGATGAAAATGTAATTAAAACAGAGTCTACTGGTCTATGAAAACAGACTTATTGGATAAATTTTTTTTTCTTTTTTTTTTCTCACCTCCTCTGAGACTAAAGAAGCACAGCAGTTGTTTTGCATGTCAGTAATTACGGTATCATCATTATGCATCATTCACTCAACTAAAGAAGCTTGTTGATTATCGATTATTGACTGCAGATGAGTGAAAGCGCATTATTACAGTAGTTAACAGCAATCCGAGGCATGAATGGTAGGGATCTGCCTGACAGTGAAAACCTAAAACACGAGCCTCAACGTCTGCGTAGATCTTCGAGAGTATTAAACCTTCAACAAGGTAGACCAGGTGCTATGTGTCCGCTTAAAAAATGTCCTCGTGTGATTTAGTTAGTTAGACTGCACATGTGTGATCTAATCCGTGGGGGAGAGCGTGACATTGAATTCAATCGGCCCCCACTCACTTGTCATCACTTACCTCTCGGGCCTGGTGGACCTGGCTGTCCAGGAAACCCAGGGATCCCAGGCTCTCCTTTATCACCTTGAAGGCCCGGTAGGCCGGGGTAGCCGAATCCAGGATCACCAGGGGCACCGCGTCGACCTTTGGCTCCAGGAAATCCTGGGAAACCCTTCTCACCGATTGTGCCAACACCACCATCACCCTTACGAACAATCCAGAAATAATAATAATATTAATAATAATAATATAAAAAAATGAGCAAAAAAATTAAAAACAATGGAAAATTAGTCAAAAGTGAATTGAATTTCATTTTCTACAAAGACCACAAGTTCTTACCGGCGGTCCCGGGGGTCCAGAGAAGCCCGGCAGACCGTCACGGCCAGGGTTTCCTGTTTCACCTGTAGGTCCTCTGGGTCCAGGTGCCCCTCGATCTCCCTTCACCCCGAAACTGCGGAAGGACGATTCCCCCTTCTGTCCTTTACGCCCGTTGAATCCCCTCTCACCCACACGACCCTGCAGAAAACAAAGTTACCAAAGTTCGAACCTCATAAACTTGTGCTTATTTACAGGAAAATGATAGGAGGATATCGATTACAACATTAAAAAACAAATAATAATAATGAAATGTTTCTTACAGGGGCCCCCGGATTGCCGTTGAAACCAGGAGTACCCAGGTTACCGGGTTCACCTTTACGCCCTTGGAAGCCGAAGCTTCCTCTTGGTCCTTGAGGTCCAGGTAACCCGGGCAGGCCTCTCCCTCCTCCTCCTCCACAGTTACAGTCACCAAAGTCACCTGAAGAAACAAAAAGTAGCACCATGTGAGGAGAAAAATAAAGATTATTACACATATAAAGCACGTAATTATATAAGCAATCATTACGTCACAGTATTTGCTAACAAGGTCAAGGACTTCCAGCGAACCAACTTTTCGATTTTTGCCATTTCTCACGCCAATCTTGTAGCCCAGGTCTGACAAAACAAAATTTCATATTGACGGTGAATTTATTGCGCTCTGTTGAAGAGAAGTCCTCGCCATTGTTTTGATAGCAGTTAGCATGCAGCTTCCTACTCATATTAGGGCTGTGCGCTAGCCGTTAGCTTCTTGAAAACATCAGTGATAGACCCATTTGTGTTTTGAACAGCTTTACTCCATAAGCAGCTTGTCTTTGTTCAGCTGTTTAGTGACTCAGGGAAGACATTCAGTGGCGTTCTTAGTGCTAACGTTAAGCTAACCCACTGACTACGTCGAGGCCTTGCTTACAAGAGGAATTCATTTGTATTGTGGTAGCGTTTTATGGCTAAAGCTAGTAAGGCTGAATGGACAAGTCTTCCATTGTGGACATTTTCAGTCTGTTTGGGAATAAAAAGTTTGTGCGCCACTGGGTCACCGTATCTCTGTTTTCGAACTACAAACTCGGTGGAGTGGAATGTTCTGGAAGGTTCTTTTGAAGAGAACGCACCAAAACGAGTTCTGCATCTATTAGTAAATCACAATTTAACCCATTAAAAAAAAAATGTGGATACAAGTGAATGTGCAAAACATGCAAACATATCAATGGCATTTGGCCCTATAATCTGAGGAGATACACTGTGATCTTATTTAAGTCAGGCTACATATCAGCAGAATATTGCTCTGTCGATTTTTCTGGGGCTCTGGCATTTTATCAAAAAGACATAAACTCTCAGTTCAACCGAAAAGTTGAAGCATTTCTAAATTGATACTTACAGCATGTGGTGCAGTGATAAATGTACTGTTATGTCAGATTTACACAAAAAATTGGGCTGAAAACTAGACAATTACTATAAAATAAGGAACAGAAACAATAAAATATATATTTATGTGCCCAATATTACCAGCTAATACACTATATAGTAGATACACTCCACAAATGAGCAACACGAGAACCAGTCAGTCTAACTACAGTATCCTTATGAATATACATTTATTATACATATTATTTTACAGAAAATAAATTAATACGTTTTGAGTTTGAGAAAAGCTTGTTTTTGCACACCTCTAAAGCCTTTAACTCCCGAGTCTCCTGGAAATCCTCTCTGGCCAGGCGGCCCTGGGATTCCAGGACGGCCTCTTGTGGGGGCGTCTGCAAACACACACAGGCCAACTCAGACATAAAAAAAAGAAACTTAAGCTCAGCTACACTGACTTATGTCAGGGAATAACAACACGACAATGGATGACAATTAATTTGTATTCTTAGGAGGGAAAGAGGGAGACATTTACCCTCCGCCCCCAAGAAACAGGAAATCAAATCTAGAAATAACCCGAGGCAGTGCAAGGGCAGCAAAGTTTCACAGTGCAAAATCAGGGTTAGTTGGCTCTGGTTTTTCGTCAGGTTTGAGCTGCTGGTGCAAGATGAGAGGCTTCTGTTTGAAAGCATTGAATTTTTTTTTTTTTTTTTTTTTTTTACATGATATTGAAAGTTACAGCGCCCTCCATGATATTTATTAGCCATGGCAATGATGTGCAAAAAGGCCCAGTGGTATCTCCGTCGTCCTTTTTGTCCACCATCAGCCTTTTCCACCAATGGTTGTCATGGTTAAACCCACGCTCCAATGGCCGAATGTCCTTTTGACACGTGTGTGAATGAGCCAGCCTCCTTCACCTTGCAGCTAATTTAAATGACAAAGAACGCTCCAATTTACGTAATAAAAAGTGAAGTAGAAATCACAAAAAATATATCTATATTTTTTTTATTTTACACGTTTTTACGCCGGGGGTTGGCCATAAATGTGGAGGGCGCAGTAAAACACCAATGCATTTGGCAAGTACATATTCAGTGGTTTTACATTGATTTTAATAGCTGAGAACTGCACAATGCACACCGTGGAGCATTTTGGGACTTGCTTAGAACCATAGAAATACATACTGAACAAGTGTGCAAATTTTGTTTTTTTGTGTGTGTGTGTTCTGCCGTACATTCACTACTATGAAAATAAACACATAAATAAACAAATAAATTAGAAAAGTTGCAGTTTTCATTTGACTTCATTCACGAATCGTTTCCAAAGCAGCTCTCACGCCCCGAACCTTCATGTAAAACCAGTGAATTATGTTTACAGCGGGTTACACCTTGTGGCCAAAGACGAGAAAAGCAGCTTGGAGTAGAGAGACACTCCTATCCAAGTCTGAAGCTCGCAACAGCCTACACTCGCCACTTAATGCTACTCCCTGCAAAGAGTACAGCGCAAAATAAGTAAAAAGAAATCAGCATTTTGGTAGGGAAGTTTTGCAAGATGAAAGGTGATTTGAATGGTTTTCTTTTTTATTATTATTATAATTATTATTATCATTGGAAGAGCAGAATGTTGCCATGGCGCTGCATTAGGGTACCTGAGGAACTAACCTGTGGGCCTGTCAGGAGGATAGATATCACAGGGGTCCCTGGGCCGGCCTTAGACAACAGTAAAATTCAGACAGCTGTTATGGTTTAGAAGTTGCTCTCTGTCGTACCTTGTACTCTTACCAACGAGGCGGCTTTTAGTCAAAAAAGAAAACGTGTGCCACACCGATTTCAGCTGTGGTACAGCATCATGCGCACAAAGACAAATCAATCATACAATGACAACAACTTGAGCTTGTTACCAGCTGGAATAGTCCTCTTCACAATCTGGAAAGGGAGGGGGGAAAAAAAACAACAGCAAAGATTCAGCATTTTGGTCCGGTGGAGGGATACCTGAGCTGTCTCGAGGACCTGGAGGACCAGGGGGACCAGGAGGACCATCAGGTCCAGGGGGACCTTGGAAACCCTCAGGGCCGGGAAGTGGTATGCCCGGGTTTCCCTTGTCTCCTTTTGGCCCGGCGCCACCGGGAAAGCCCGGAGCTCCTGGAGGACCTGCGCACACGACATATTTGTTGTGTACAAAGAAGGCACACTTCTACTTCAGAGTCTTGACCAACACAGAGTAGAGCATAATTGCACAGAGGAAGTAAAGTATCTCATGATTTCCAGACTGAACTATCCAGGGACTCCATGCTTTTGCGTTCACCTTAAAATGTAAAACGGTAAAGTTTGCTATTTATCTGTGGCAAATATTTGTGCAGTAGGGTTTTGAATACGTAAAGTGAGAAACTGGAAAGCAGGAAGACCAGAAGAGGAAGCAAAACAAAGTTGGAGGGAAGGAAAGAAGGGAGGAGAACAAGACTTGGAGAGGAAGAAATACTCGAGGAAAAAAGGACAAAAGAGAGGAGGGTAGGATTGAAGGAAGCAAGAGAATGAAAGAAAGGTCATAAGAAAGGATGGAGGTAAGGAAAGAAGGTTTGTGGTTTTAGCATAAACTATTCTGTCAATCAATCTGGAGTGTGACTACATTTCCTAATGAAAGATCCTTCACCATACCTACAAAACCTCCTAAAGACTGCCATTATTACCAATGCGGAAAGCGCCTGGCGGTCCTGGAGGCCCGATGAATCCTGGAGGTCCCTGATCACCGGTGCTACCCGGAGGGCCGGAAAAGCCCGGGTCGCCTGGGGGTCCTGCAGAGAAGGACGAATAACATGAATAACCTGACGGATTTGTTCAACGTCAAGTCCAGGTTTCAAATCCACTATAGTGGTACCTTGAACAAAAGAGCCATAATCATTGATGTAACTTGGAGGTCCTGGGAGTCCAGTGTCACCTTGGTCTCCCTATGGGATGTTCACGGTCAAAACAGAGCAGAGAAAGAAGAAAACAAAATCTACTCTTCACTCTGATAGCCTAAAACACATGCAAAGCTAGCTAAGGGAATATTTTTTAGGGAAGCTAACTGTGGTTGTGGTTTCTATCGAGAGACAAATCTACAAAATCCAACAGTGAAAAGTGAATGAAGGATGTTAGATTCACATTTCTTTTACCTTGGGTCCAAGGAATCCTGGTTGTCCCGGGAAACCCAGTTCCCCCGTTGTCCCCTTGAAATAAAGAAAAACCTTTTGGTTTGACTTAAGAGAAAAACTTGACTGAGCTGCACAGTGAAGCATCGCAACATGTGAACAAACAAGACGCAGACGCTGTCATTGTCAAATCAACAGAGATTCATGAGGTACAGTGTGCAAATCAGCTATTTTCTGTTTTTTTTCTTTTCATTTTTTCTATAAGTTACACTCTATGATTACATATTGAGTATTTTTGCTTTGATATTCGTCATGATAATTTAACATCAACAACAAAGAATATTTGCAAGGTATACGTGGAAGTAAAATTTCACGTGGTTCAACAGATAAGCTTACTTTCGGTCCAGAAGGGCCAGGCGGTCCGACAAAACCCGTAGGACCCTGTTTGAAGCAGGGTCAAAGGTCAACAACAGACTAAAAGTTCAGATACAATTTTACAGCTTTTTTTTTTCTTTTCCTGGAAAATAGAAAGTAATGTTTAGGAGCCTTACTCTTGGTCCTGGGTATCCAAGAATGCCCTGCTCCCCGTCTTCACCTCTATAACCGAAAGGTCCCTGGATTTAAATGATACAAAGAAATGTAAATGTAATTTACAGCCATGGATTTATCACACAGTGGTCACCAAAGTTTCGACTTAGGTTCGGTGTTGCAGAAGTCTTTTTCAGACGAATGTACAGAAGTTCTGTGGTGATACGTACAGGTGGTCCAGGTGATCCAGGGTATCCTTTTATGCCCTTTGGGCCAGGATCACCCTGAGAAGAGAAACGGAAAAGGTGGTGGGATTGAAAAAAAAAAAACAAACCAAAACAACAACTTTGTTTTCCTGACAAAAATTATTTCTCAGGACATATTAAAAAAATATCAGTGGAAAGTTGATGATGTTACATTTGTCTCATTTAACTTACCTGTGGTACTCCACAAAATACACCAACACAAATAGCTCCACTGGGTGATTTATGGCTTAAATTAGTAACCCATGATTTTGTTTTTCTGATGGCCTATTTTTTTTTTTATCTACCACCTTTCAAAATGGGAAACAAAGGAGAACACAGACAGATCCATGTTGATTCTCATATTATGTAGGGAAATTCAGATTTTCAAAGGCTTTTTACACGTCTTTCCCATTAAATGTGGAAGGTGCCACATGGTCTACCAGTGTTCACCTGTAAATGAGAAAAACGTATTTCTGAATCCCCATATTAGCATGTCAATTAGCATCTCAGCAAACACACTGTGGCTGCCCGATCTCAGCTGATCCGCACCGCCTCCTGCTTCCACACAGAGTCTTAACATCAGAATGTCGTGGGATGAAGTCGAAGTTGCGTTTTCCAACCAACCTGCAGTCCTTTGTCTCCTTTGGGAAAACCCACAAACTCCACAATGACATTGATCAACGGCTGGCCAGGCTCGCCGGGCAAGCCCACGTCGCCCTGCATGGCGTGATCATGGAAGAGAGATGGCTGTTTACGCGCCGCAGTTCTGACCGTTCGGCGGCAGCGGCGAGTCAAAGAGAGGCAAGGCGTCGGGAAGCGCCTCCGTAGCTTCGGCGTGTTTGACAGCGGACGGACTCAACGGTGAGCCACAGAAGAGGATGGAGGGAGGAGAGAGGAGAGTCTGGGCTGACGGTAAGAGGCTGGTCTGTGACGTAAATTTGTCCAACTTAACTCATTTACTAGCATTCAGACTGAAATTCTAGTCAAAATAAATCTAACAGTTACAAAGTCGGCCTTCTATCACCTGAAGAACATCTCCAGGATTAGAGGACTAATGTCTCAGCCAGATCTAGAGAAACTCATTCATGCGTTTATATTTAATCGCATTGATTATCGTAACAGCATCTTCACAGGCCTGTGCAACAAATCAATCAGCTTCTGCTGATCCAGAAGCTGTTGCTCACGTTCTCACTAAAACCAGGAAGATAGAGACATAACAGCAGTTTTAAAGTCCCTCCACTGGCTCCCTGTAGCTCAAAGAATAGACTCTAAAATACTGTTGTTAGTTTACAAATCACTGAACGGTTTAGCACCACAATACATTAAAGATCTGCTGTTGTTGTATCGACCTTCCAGACCTCTCAGGTCTTCTGGTTCTGGTCTGCTCTGCATCCCCAGAACCAGAACCAAGAGAGGAGAAACAGCTTTCAGCATCTATGCACCACAAATCTGGAACAAACTTCCAGAAAACTGTAAAACAGCAGAAACCCTGACTTCCTTTAAATCTCAACTAAAAACACACCTGTTTAGAATTGTATTTGAAATGTAATATGTAACAATGTATTGTCTATTATATGATGCATGACTTTGTGTTTTTGTGTTTATGATGTAAAGCACCTTGAAATCCCTTGCTGCTGAAATGTGCTATACAAATAACATTTGATTTGATTTTGATTTGAGGTGATTCATCTTGGAGCTCCAAATTACAGACTCATAGATCCAATATAAATATCTGTATCGATCCAGATGTGGAGAAAAATTACTAAATTCTCATTCATCTTAGTTTGTGTAAGTCTGCAGCTGCAATTAAACAGCAAACAGCAAAAATGGTTTTGTTTGACCGAAACAATTCTTACGACAGCACATCGTTTGAAACTTGAAATTATCTGTTGGACTATAGTTTGTGTCAAACTTCGGTGGAGAGACAAAAGCTTCTCAGATGGACCACTTCCTGTACACATCTCTCCCCAGATCCTCCTCCTCCCTCATCCTCCCCTCCATGGCTGGAAAGTTTGCTGCAATCACTGCTCCGGTTTTTTTTTTCTCAACCTTGAAGACTTGCTGCTATGTTTATTTTCCCCACTTTTGGGATAAGATCATATCCCATCATATCTGTAAGTTTTACTGTGTGTGTGTGTGTGTCTGTGTGGTGACAGTGCTGCAGCCTCTGCCCTTCCCTCGCTGTGTTACCTTGTCTCCTTTGTAGGCAGTGACAATTTTTTCGCCGCTTAGAGACCGGTCACCGGGAGAACCGCCGGGTCCGGGAAGACCCACATCGCCCTGGAGTCCGAAATACACACAACACACCGTTAGCCAACCGGATGGAGAGATTGGTTTGTGGAGGGAAGAAGGAGAAGAGCAGAAGAAGAGGAGAATAAAGCAAAAGGAGGAAGAGGAAGGGGCAGAAGTTGGAAAAAAGGGAAAGTCAATTGGAGAAATGAAGAGTATTTATTATTATTACTGTGGCTCAAAAAATGACTTAAAAGGTTATTTAATTTGACAATTCAGTACACAGTTTACACTTCAACTTGGGCCTAAATGAACACATTGATAGTCCTCAGTGCTGCCAATTTGACTGCAAAACCTGTGAAACGTTAATTCTTTGGTCTGTGTTCAACCACTAGGCGGCCTTGCTAGACTTTTGGAACTACTTCATTCTCAAATACTTCATTCTCTAAGTTCTTTTCTTCTTCTCCTCTTCGGAGTAGCTGGTGTTTAAACCGGTGTATTATCGCCCCCTGAGGGAATGTGCCGAAGCTGTACAACTTTGGATGGAGTTTGGATTTTCAGCTAAGCTAAAAATATAAATAGTTGTGTGTGCTTTCACACAAAGTCCAGACACACAGAGGTGCGTTCTTCTTTATCTGTATGCTCTGTATTTTCAAGTTGTGGAAAAAGAGCCACTTTCTGCAGGAAGTCTCTTTCTGCTGAAGGAAAGTTTCGCCACGGAGCTAAAAATGTATGCAGTTTGAGGACTATGCTTATAGCTGTAGTATGTAACTTTTTAAACAATGGGCTTTTCTTTTACATGTTTGCTAAAACTATCTCTATATCCTTTATATTTGTGAAAAGAAAATGAACTCCTCTTGCCTCCTCCCTGTGGCTTTACTGCCATCTGCAGAAATGCACCACTCCCAGTCAGAAACAACCAATCAGAACAAGGAGGAGGATCTTAGCACTGTCAATAATGCTTGTCCACACTCATATTGTAACCCATGCTCTTGGCTACACTGCAGCTAGCACGCCACACAGGAACCTGTCCTGAATGCCCAGGCTAGTTAGCATAGTCACCAATGAACTCAGGTAATGATGTCAGTTTTTCTGTAACAGTATGACAACACATTGAGCTGCGCACACATGAGCATGATTTACAACGTCAAGACCCTACCCCTGGCTCTGATTGGTTGTTTCTGACCAGCTGCAGAGCATAGAGGGAAAGCAGAGCAATTAAATTTTTTTTTTTTGCAGATTATTTGTCTCATGTTATACTGTAATGATGACAGTTTTAACAAATATTTTAAAAAAAAACAAACAAACATATTGCTTATAAAATTACATACTGCAGCTTGGAAGTATGAATTATTATTAAAATTGACTAAAAAGTAAAGGTTGAAGCAGATCTGAATAAAAAAATGTCAAGTTTAATACAATCAATATTTCTACCTGCAATAAAATGACATTAACATAAATTTGTAATAGAGAAAAAAAACAACAGGATAGAAAAGAAAAGAATAGGATGAGAGCAAAACATTAAGAGATGTGCTTTTCGATTTTTTTTCCTTTTCTTATCTCTTAATTATGCATCTTTTAACACAGTTCTTCCTTTCCAAACATCACATCGTGGTTGTTCCCTGTCTCACTTTGTGCCCTCAAATCGTATTCAGTGTGTGAGGATTTGCTTGAACATCCCATACATGCATCGTGTGAGGGAGATGAATGTTAGTAAAGTGTGTATGTGTGTGGGTGGATGGATGGATGAGCAGGTGTGGGTGGGAGGGTGAATAGGGAGCCGGGGGGGAAATGTACCACCAAACAGACACACGTGATCGAGATGAGTAAGTGATTGGATGCAGGAGCGGGGAGCAGTGATTCCAGCAGTGAGTCGCAGCCCTCAGACTCTCCCCCCCACCCCGGAACGACAGCTCAGAAATTTCCGTTCCAATTTCAAAGAGCCTTTTCCAATTTCACGAAAACTTGGATGATTTCTTAAATGAGTCCGGACGACTGAAAACTCAGAGCTGCCGTTCCACGGTGAAGAAATGAAGTGCGAAGCCCACGAAACAACAAACAACCCTCCAAATCCGAAGCACGGGGAGAAAAGAACTTATTTTCTTTTCAACATTTCACTAGATTTGATCCCCTTCCACATTTGCGGAGGTTGTTTTTGTCTCGGAGGCAACCCAGGTGATTTAAAGAAACAAACCAACAAAAAAAAAAAAAACTGAATCAAGCAATGGTTGAGGTGATTTTTTAATTGCTTTTAATATCAGTTCGTGCCGATCAGAAGATGCTGGGGTGCAGAGTGTGTTAAATTGAGTGGAAAGATGGAGGAGGGAAGTTAGGCAGGTCACGGAGCCACCACCCGACGTTTTCCAGCATGCACAATGTTCAACGGAGACATTTCAGACACCATTTCACCCAATTAGACATGCAGGCAAACAAATACACACACACGCGCGCGTTCAAAATCCTGCTAACGTCTGATTTCTGATGCACTAATCTAAGAAATGTTGACAGGACAAACAGAACATTTAATTTGCATTTCTGAACTTCAGCGCTGCAACACATTCCACAAAAACTGGGGAGATTTCACTTTCATCAATCTGTAACGTTGCTTCAACCGTAAAGAGAGGGAGAGAGAAAAAAAACACACCAGTAAAATTATGTTCTGGCCTTCAGATCTGTAAGAATCTTTAAGCTTTTTTTTCTTTGCCTTACAGAAAGTGTTCAGTATCAGTCTGCACTCCCTGAAGCACGAGACATTTTTTATGCCCCCATGACTGCAGTTCAAACTCGTACAAATTTGGCCCTCTAGTGGACAGTTTTGGAATTTTCTCTGCATGTGAATTTCAGTGACAAATCTTTCCTTTTTGTTTGAATTTCATAGGAAGTAGAGCTGGAAACATCCAGCAACATCTTACTGAAAAATATAATAAAACAAAAATAATATTATTTCTAATGATAATTAAAAATTCTATTATTTTTTTTTTTATTATGTAGACTAAAAGATTTTCTACACCCAATAAACAGTGAAAGGAGAACAGCTTCCTAACTTTTTGGGTAACTTCTTTCTAAGAAAAAAAAGGTGCTTCAATTGTTTTCATTTGCAGTAAGATTGCACATGTACATATTTTTTTAAAAAGGCCTGTTATTTCTTACTAAATGTATATACTTGTGCTTTCATGTCTGTACATTGAGCGCAAACTGCAACCAAAGTCAAATTCATTGTTGTTGGTTAATAAAGCTTATTCTAACCATGCTTATGCTAAAAAAAATAATAATAAATGAGTTATTTTCTACATTGACACCAAGCACAAAATTCTATTCAGTTCAACTAAGAATTTAAAGGGAAAAAATAACCCCATCATGGTTGTTTCTTCAACCTAGATCTCAACTACCTCCACAGAAAACACAATCATCGATATAGGTTTTGCTTTTATTTTATGTCAAATCGAAATCACACGTTCCAAAGAACTTGATCCTCACCTTTGTGCTGTTTCTAAATCGTTTGTGTCTCAGTTTATTTGGAAAGTGCTGCAGGCCTGAAAAGCAGGATTTGTGTTCTTTAACTCAAATAAAACCAGCAAATTAGATTTTCTACTGCGGTTTCGACCACAGAGCTTAATGAAAAACCCACTTTCTGCTCTATTTGCTTTTTTATTTTATTTTCTTTCAGCAACTTTTTCAATTCAAATGTTTTGAATCCCTGAATTTATGTTAAAGCGATTCTGTGTGGTCGGAATCGCTGCCTTCTTAAGACATCCAAACATTTCCACCTAAGTTGACTTGGGTTTTTTTGAATCATTTTGTGCCTTTCGTCGTTCATGTCCTACCTTGTCTCCTTTCCCTCCTCGATAAATGTCGCCACGGCTGCCCTATAAACACAACGGGTTAACAACGGGAAGAGCCAGAGGCACATGTCCTTCTTTCTTATTAAACAGGAAACACCTTAGTAAAACAGCGATTAATTCCACCTTAAAATAAACTATAAAATGTCCTGGCACTGATCTAAGACTCACCTCTGGCCCTTGGGGCCCTGGAGGGCCTGGGGGTCCCTACAAAGAGACAAAAGAATTAGACTGATTAGAGGAATTCAGACTTGAAATTCAGAGATTACATTTTTTTTTTTGCCCAATTTTGTCGAAGTTCAAGATGCTGGTTACAAATGCACACCACATGTTTGACTTTTTTTTTTTTTTTTTTTGCAAAGTAAATCAATATTCTCTTTATCCATCCAAATAAAACTTTAATCCAGAGATAAGAATTGTGATGTGGCAAAATGTTTCCAAGAGGGGGATCGATGCTTTTTTCTCATCTGAGAAAAGGAATCAGAACTTTTTGATTGTAAGATCAAAACAAAAACTTCTTCAAAATCCAGATCTGTACAATAGATTTTAATTGCGTACAGAACTCTATGTTACCTACTACCTTCCTCTTTGAAGGACTGCAAATCTCCAAAATATGTTGCTTTGTAACATTCAATCAGCGGTTAAACTGCATTAAACTGCACAGTCATTCTGTGAAACTCGTGAAGAAGTCGGTCAAAGACGGACGGGCGACTCGGTTCACGTACGGGGAATCCGTTAATTCCTCTTGGACCTTGGAAACCCGGCGGGCCGGTTGGACCTCTGAGACCCTGCAGAGAAATCAAGAAGAAGAAGAAGAAAAGCTCACTGATGTCATTTCCCCCGAAGCTGAAAAAGTGTAACTAACATTGTAGATTTTTACATGAAAACATATTTAATATTTCAGGAGGGCAATTCTTCCCTTCTAAACAACTGTGTAAAGGAAAGGAAAGGCGAGTCTTACAGGTGGGCCCCTGGGTCCTGGTGGACCTGGTGTCCCCTAAATGACAAAATGGAAACACGGATAACAAAAAGTCAAACACTAAATGACAAGTGAATAGAAATTAAAAAAGGTCAGCTTGTTATTATCCAGAGCATGGGAGAAATATCATTGTTATTTCGAAAAGATGACTTGCTCTTTTGTCATATCCATTGCATCTACTCAGGTTTACAGAGCTGGCTCCACACCACCACCTGCTGGCCAAATGCAGACACTGCAGGTTGGCTCAGGCGCTCGCCTTGGCCAGTACAGTTTAACAGTAAAAAAAAAAAAAAAAAAAAAAAAAAAATATATATATATATATATATATATATATATATATATATATATATATATATATATATATATATATATATATATCAATGGACATTAATATGTGCAAAATTCTAAACAACAAAAAAATTATATTAAAATATGTTTTAGGGTTGAAACCTATGATGATTTCAGTAATCGACTTTCGTGATGTTCTTTAAAAAAACAAAGAAACAAAAAATATATATATATTTGTTGACTTACATTATAATAACCGAGTAATAATTGATTAAGAATCGCTTTGGTACTGCGTATGTTTGCTGAGTAAGGTGGACTTGATATAGACATGTTTCCACTAATTTCTGATCAATCTGTAAGCATGATCAGGATTTAATTATTTACTTATGAGACTTGAGGAAATGTTTTAGCTCACTGAGCTGTAAGCCTCAGTTTAAAATTTGTTTTAAAAAGTTTTAAACTTGATCTGCATGTTTTTTCATCAGTAGGAGGTCTGAGCCTGTGAGTCGCAGTTATTTTCTATATACGTTTATGAATCTAGATACACTATGATGACGAAGAAGTCGAAATGCTAAAATCTTGTTCACAGGATTAAAGAGGGAAAATATGTAAAAAACAAAATGAATGTAGCAGGAAAATATAAAATCAGAATTGAAGCAAAAGTGGAAAAGCAGACAGCTGGAATGAACTTTTACCAAATATAATCTTTATTTTTAAACCATAAAAGTTAACAGCAGTTGAGGGCAAAACAGAGAAGAATCAGGAAGTGCATCCTGGAGGTCTTACCTCACCGATGTAGATGGGGTCTCCTTTCTGACCTTTTGGCCCCGGTGGCCCCTGTTTTTTTGTTTGTTTTTTGTAGGCAGAGAAACGACAACATGACCCTCCTGCCATCGACACTATTAAAACAAATCAAGGAATGAAAAGCGGCGCTCACTTGAAACCCGGGATATCCTGGAGCGCCCGTGCCATAGCCGGGCAGGCCAGGGTCCCCCATGGTCCCGTTACAGCCGTCCTTCCCTGGCGGGCCCCTGCTGCCCTGCTGACCCGGGTGACCCTGCAGGAGGAGAGGAGTGGACAGGAACGGGTACTCAACCAACCTGTGTGCCATAAACCTCGACCACGTTCTTCTTTGTGTTTCTAATCCTCCGATGCTAAGAGTCGTGGTTCAGAACCAACATAAATGGCCAGAACTTCCTTTTCTTTATGTATTGTTTGCTCTATTTTGTGTGACTAACATCAGACAAAAACTGACAACGTGTTGTCATCCTGTTGGGAGATCATATGAATATAAAAAAAATCATTTGGTTTTGGTCAGATTTCTACATTTTGTTGTATGAAACTCCGTCGATAAAAAACATCACATTCAGTTCAATTGAATAAAAACAAAAATGCTGCATTGATCCCAAAGGAAAACAAGACTCATATTTTTCAAAGTTTTTTAAAAAGTTGTTGAGTCAGGTGGCAGTGGGAGGAAAGGATCTTCTGCAGTAGTTGGTAATACAGCGGCTCTGAAAACGTCTCTGACTGAAGACGTTCTATTTCCATGTGAAAATCTCATCCAGAGGATTCTCAGGGTTGTTCATAATTTTCTTAATTTTACGTGTTGGTTTTCCTTCCCCTGCGGCATCTCCTAGAAAATCACCGCTGGTTCAAACCGGACTGAATGTAAACTGGGATGGCCTTCAGTCCGACGTACTGAAAACACATTGAAAGAAACTGACGATCCATTTGTTTCTGATTTACTTACAGGCACTCCATCAGTTCCTCGAAATCCCGGCACTCCCATTGGTCCCTGCATTGGTAAAGACACAACGCATGATTAATTCATAATCAGAAAAACAGAGCAGCGTGTACGCCGACATCCCGGATGTTTGGATCTCCCGGATGTTTGGATCTCGTCCAGCTGAGGCTCAAGACAAGATATCGCCAACCGTTGCAACTTTTTGCTTTTTCACTGCCGTATATTCTTGTTGATAAAATGTGAATACATCACTGATTCACCCACTTTGTCTCCTTTGACCCCAGATGGACCTTTAACTCCGATATGGCCCTTCTCTCCTTTAGGCCCTTGAGGCCCTAGGCCCCCGCGTGGCCCATCCGGTCCGGGACGTCCGATCTCACCCATTTGCCCAGGACGACCCTGAGGAAAAGAAAAGAAAAGTAAAAACCGATGCAGCAATGTCTTGAGTCAAACTCAATCATTCTGAATTGATGAGCATCAGACATACAGAGAACATATGACAAAATAGTTAAATAAAAGTCAGAAGAAGCAAATGAGAAGATGGTGACTATTAGAGTCAAAATAATGGCTCACATTCTCCAGGGCAAACAGAAACAGCTCAACCGGAAAACTTTATTTGTCCTTCGAGTGTACACCACATTCTGTAGTGTACACACCAGTTGCACTGCATGTCCCACAATGCACTGCAACAGCCTCTCGGCTCAAGACGTCGGTGCGCTCAAGCTCCTCGTGGGGCGAATGGACCAAAGAATCTTGAGGTAAATTCAGTGTTGCCAAAAAATTATGTTGCAGATGAACTCATCCCTGCGTCTTGGTTGAAAGACATTAATAATCCAAGAGCAGAGAAAACTAAATGCGTTGTTTTCTTCCTTTTTTTAAAAAAAAAAAGTCTTTTTAAAACAACTTATTCCACTTTATGAGAAATAATACAATTGATTCAATATTCAAGACACCTCAATGTAATACACAGATACTATTGGCAGATAGATTCTAACGCTGAGACTGTAGCTTTGTTAATCACTAAAAAAGTCAAACTCTCTTTGATTTTGTTTTAAAATGACAGAACCCTGATTAACGATTTTCCACACACGTCATGCCAACTAAAATTAACTACTGAGCACATTTGGCGAGACGGCAAGAGAAAAAATGTTGCCACGTTGTGGCTTAAATTCTGGACCAATCAAACGATTAGTCACGATTAATCTGGTATTCAAATGACTGTTAACTGATTTAGTAATCAGTTAATTGTTAACTGGAGTATGACAACTCTGAAAAATGCACAGTTTTGTGAAAATAACACATTTTCATAGCATTAAATGAGCCAAACCTGTACAAATAGTACAGAATTTCACATTTAAGATAATAAAAAACCCAAAAACCTTAGCCAAACCGCCTCAAGTAATATGTAGCTTTAGCTTCACCTGATTCATATTTACTTAAGAAATACTACAGTATTGAAATTCAGGCAACAATATGTTTATTTTCTTATTTTCAAAAAGTAATTTTATTATTTGTTTATCTACTTTTTTGATTCTTTGATTGTAGAAACTATGAATAAACCATTATTACATTTGGTAACACTTTCAAAGAAAAATACATAGTGTTGGAATTGACCTTTTTTTATTGCAGGTAAATAATTTGTACTGCAGAAGGTTGTTATGTTTATCAGAGGGGAAGACAGCAACAATTTAAGTGATTAAATAAAAAATCTGTAAAATGTGCCGTTTATTATCTTTTAATTGATTTATTGTCAGACTAGTAGATAGATTACTAAAATAATTGTTTGACGAAAGCCCTAATTAAAAGTACCAACAAAGCTGTAATTCTAAATTTGTGTTTTTATTGGATTTACAAAAGGCCAAAATTTGATGTTGATATTTAATATTTTGTGCAGATATGGAGCTTCATATTTTATACACCGGTTAAACTAATAAAAGTAGCTCAACCACTGTTTAAATTTAGTTGTTTTTTTTTTTAACTAAAGAAATTTTTTTTTTTTAAGTGTCTAAAATCAATTTTAAATCTTTGGTTCTCTGAAAGCTGCAGTTACACGTCTACAGCCACAAGATGGCAACATAGGCACAATGAACTGGCAACAAACAGGTGTTGAATTAGAGGTTAGGAAGTGGAATCCCTCCATTAGGAGGCCGGACTCAATAACTCACTAAGGTACACACATTCACAGGACCGCTCAGACTACTGACAGCCTGCGATTAGCTCATGCTTTAAACAATATAACAGGGTAAGGAGAGAGGAAGCGGATCAGGATATGAAAACAAGTCTGAGAGAGACAGAGGCAGCGTGTCCTGCGGTCAAAGGAAAGTCAGATTCAGATCTGAGTAACAATGTTTAGTCATCAGGTAAAATCGGGAGCACGGCAGCTTTGCTTCAATTTACAAGAAAAATACGCTAATAAATCCCACTGACGAAGATATCCCACCATGCGTTACCTCGGATTGTAAAAGACTGCAGCGTGTAAGACGTTGACAAGGTATTTGCACAGCTGACATGCATGTAAATGCTTGTACGAGCGCACACGTATGCTTTTTGTCAATAACAGCACATACAGTGCAACTTTACATGTATAACCACAGAACTGCAGTTGTCTTTTGAAGCGCCAGTGACCCCTGATTAGCATCTTTTGTCTCGGAGTTAGAGGCCGCTGCTCGGCTGCCAGCTTGCGTGGCCTTAGGGGGTCGGAAGGGAAGCATAATGACAGGGCTGTGCCAGCTAAAGGAAGCCTGCCAGAGCTGTCTGGCCCAGATTTGACACTCACACCTGGTTTCACCCAGAGAAAATATGCAGAGCTTCCACCAGGAGACACTTTCTCTCACAACTCACCTCCACTGTTGCTGGCTTGACCTTAACACTTGAAGAATAACTTAAAGTCCTTCTCTTTTTTTTATTCCCTTTCATAGTCTTTCTGTATATCATCCAAATCTCAATGAAAGTCACCCATTTTTTAACTCCCAGTCGGCTAATCTTGTAAATGTCCCGACAGCCTTCCAGCAACTTCCATTAAAATGTCTGGATACCCAAAGGTTTGAGGCTGCTCATGGGGTCATCTTTTAAAAATGCTTTTAGCTTTTTCAAGGATCTTTCTCTCCAGTCATGGGTAATCTTGAGAGCTCCATCTTCGTCTGATGTTGGATAAACAGTAAGAGGTGGTCAGGTTGTTGAAGTGCTAAGACTTGCTTTCCTGCTTGGCCCTGATTCTGTTCAGTAGAACAAGACTGCTGAAGAGGGACCAAGAAATCCAGACTTTTACAAACCCAAATTTCCTACATTTAGATTTTGATTCTTTATGACATTCTGGATGTCTGAGGATAGTATGTGACTGGTTGAACTGTCTTGCCTGTGTGTTCCAGACATAATTAAACAAGTCAATGCTGAAGTCAGGTTCAGATTCACAAGTTCAATCACACGCAAGTTTGGCCTGTGTCCCAATCCAGACTGACCAAATTTCAAAACCTACAACAATTTCCACATCTGGACTGAACTGAACTGTCCAACATATAGCAGATAAATATGTAAAATTACAGTTTGTGATCTGTACTCTAAACTTCTGAGTTTGTCCAAGACCATGCTGCAGTATTTCAATCAGATTTATGCCTCGACTTTGACTAGACCACTCTATAGATAAGGAGGTGGTCTTGCTGTTGTGCTCTGGATTAAAGTCCAAATGCTCTTAAATTTTGAGATATAGATATAGATACAAGATAGGTAAAGAACATTAATATAGGTATTGTCCAATTGTTTAACTATTTTGAACTGTCATTTTCATTGACATCTTTTGTATGCCTGTCATACACATAAGCATCTGACAGACTAACTTTTGCTAGGCTTTAACCAAAAGACCACTCCCATTTCTATACATGAATGCAATGCTTTTTTTTGAACTCATATGTTAGCCTGGTCTACCAGTGATCAGTCTGTCCCATCCCTGACTTCCGACATCATCCGTCTCACACCCTCACCAGTTGGCATCCCTGTCTGTTTTCATGCCAGCCGGGTCTCTTCCCGCCTCTTCCAGACCTTCCACCTGACTGGTCAGTTTATAGTCCCAAATCCCTTTCAGCACAAAGGTCACAATGGGGCCCATTCTGGCCTGCTAAGCTCCCTGGACTTACAGCTCCCGTCTAGCCTAGCTCACTTCCTGATAGCCGAGAGTGCTTGGACAGACAGATTCTGGTCACCATGCGTGTGAAAACCGGTAGGTATGCGTGCGTGTGTGTGTTGTCCATGAATGCACATTCACACAGAGATGAACACATACCCCGAGGGTTTTTAATCGAGTCGTATTGTTCTGTGGGCTGGTGGGTGCCAAGAGTAAGATTTCGGTTGTCACACAGAATGCTCCCTTGTGGACGATGACGGGCAAAAGCACAGAGGGAGGGGTTCGCGAAAGTCCCGGGTCTCTGGGTGCATGTTTAATCATCAGGGCGCAGCAAAAGCGAAGTAAGAATTGAGCCAAATACAACTGTGAATCAACAGAACCTCAAACCTCCTTTGTATGAAAAAATATTTATATATCTCGAAAAAAGAAACAGGTACGTTTACATCTGGAAAAACAACTTCACACTTCATTTGTCTCCAGACAAATTAAACAGAGGAAGAGGTAGATCATGGGTGGATGGGAATGTTTGGGTTGACTGGACTTGTTGTTTTGTTCTGATCACACAGTGAACCCAAACACGTCTTGTGTATTCATATGTGTTTAGCGATGAAACGGGAAAGAAAGAACGACAGACGAATGGAACATTTCCCATCTGTCCCTGTGGGGGGTAAAACTGAGTGACGGTTGCCACTTTGTGGCTCAGAGTTTGTGTTTTTCTGACTTGCGGGGGTTAAGAGTTTCCCTGCATGATCGACCCATCTGTCGCTTTCACACTTCACCCAAAAAAAACTCAAGAGTTTGACCAAACCTGGGACTCGGGTAAACCACTTGGAACATCTAAACAATCCTGTTTGCATATTTTGCGTGCCGGTGCAAACTCCACAGGTTCATGGATGTGAACTAACTCAACTAAATATTTACTCACAACCTGAAATATTATGAACGTTAACGCAAACATATGGGAGGAAATGGGAGCAACACGCTGAAGGAGAGATATGATTTTCCTTCTGTTTTAGAGAAGAAAAAAGTAATTTCATTTCAATATCTCTGTCATAACACCAACGACAACTCTACACTGATGATGATGCGTTTAAGTTTTAACTTACCCAAGTAGATGCAGGAGATACAGCAAAAAGCTCAGTAAGTTGCTTGTTTTAATGTGTATTGTCCCTGAACATAGCAGCTAAATTGACTCTTGCATGACACGTTCTTTCTACTATCCGCCTTATTCTTGGAGGTGTTGTTGTGGGACTAAATGTGGTTGCAACCTTCAGTATTTGCG